GTGTGGCCTAATATGCTAATGAGTTTCTGCTGTTGGGTGTGGCCTATTATGCTAATGAGTTCCTGCTGGGCTTTTTCTACAAAAAAAGCCCTGTGCATGACAATGCACCATCCCCTTCCCCCCCATTTGCTGGGAAGCAGGCTGGAATGTGTTTGCGGGATGCTGCATCAGCATAATTGGGAAAAGAAAAAGCAGAGGTCATATGTGCTCACGAACGCAGGAGGGAGCTCTTGGAAGGTTAGCTGCACAAGAATGCGCACAGCTGCTGGATTTCCATTCCGGCCCATCTGTAAATTCACCCTTGGCCACTGACCTGTCTTTCTGTAACCCCTGGGGTAGTGCTGCTTCGGGGGGGGGGGGACGGGACGACACACACAAAGGACTAAGTTTCTAACCTTATTGCCAAACTTTTTATTGGGGATGGAGGAGAATGCCAGTGGGGATTGGGGCTGCAAAAATTGTCCTGATATGGGAGGGATTGGTGAAGACAGACTTTCTCGTCCCTGTGGGTTCAGCAAAGCAGGTTTTAGAAAATGCAAGAAAGACATAGGGAAACAAGGGAGGTTTGTGGAAGCACCGCAACGCTCTGGAGAGGTGGGGAAAATAACCTGGCTGCCCCCCCCCCCCCAAAATAACATCCAAGCCAGTTCAAACAACCTATGTTACAGTATCATGTCCTGTTTCCTGTCTTTGTGTAAACTGCCTAAGGTGACCTCTTCTAAAGCAGTGTTAGTTTGGTGTGGTGGTTAAGACTTCGGACTCTAAACTGGGAGAACCGGGTTTGATTCCCCACTCCTCCACATGCAGTTGCTGGTGTGACCGTGGGTCAGTCACAAGTCCTTTCAGAGCTCTCAAGGGCAGTTCTCGGGAGAGCTCTCTCAGCCCCACCTACCTCACAGGGTGTCTGTTGTGGGGAGGGGAAGGGAAAGGAGTTTGTAAGCCACTCTAAGACTCCTTCAGGTAGTGAACGGCAGGGTATAAATCCAATCTCCGCCTCCTCCTCCTCCTGGCTGTGCATTCAGAGAGACTCTGGCTTAGGACATGGTGTCCACAGCGGTGAGCCTGGGGTGAAAGATGAACAGTTGAGAATACAGATGGAAGGGCGTGCAGATTTTAAGGCTGCGTTCTCCTATTGTGTTTCCCATTCATTTGAAGGTCTCTCTCATGTCATGCATCACACAGATGGGATAAAAATAAAGCCCTCTTTGGATAGATCACAACCCATCTCTTTAATGTGGTTCTTGTTTTTTTAAAGATAGTTACAGACTACCTAAAGTGAGCCCAGCAAAGGAAAGCCACGCAAAAGGCAGATTCCAATTTGATTGGCCCTGTGTTGGTGCATCCTTGCCCCTTTCTATGAGGTATTGCCTGCTTCCCCTGCCCTGTGGAGATATCAGGCTTATAGCTTGGTGGGTTGCAGGAACTGAGACCAGTGTTCCTTCTAAGCTGAGCACAGTTCTTTAGCCTCCAGCTCACCCATATTTGTCTTAGGTCAGGAAGGAGGGCTCCAGAGCAAACCAATTTATGCAGCAGCCAAATTGCTCGCTCCCAACTTTAATGCCAATTGCTCACAAAGTAGGATTATTGCTCACAGCTTAGAGGGAGCATTGGCTGAAATCCTCTCCCAACAGTAATGCCCACCAGGCCCAAGCGGGGCCTTCTTTCCCACTGGAGGGAAAGCTGTGCACGGCAAGCGATTCCAAGCTATTGTAGGAAGGCAGCGGGGCCACCCCGGACGCAACAGGCAGATGCGTTGGGGCGCCAGGCATAGAAGGTGCACTGCAGAAGGTGGAGTTGTCGTGGCCGCCGGAGGCGGGGCGGTCAGAGGATCGATGCAGGTAGGCCCACTGGAAGGCCAGGATGCAGGTGACGGCGAGGAAGTCGAAAATCAGCTCGGCCATCTCGACGACGGAGAGGACGGAGGAACCGAACCAGAGGCTCCACTGGTTGCCCAGCTGGGACAGCAACGTCACCACCTGCCAAAGCGGAGAGCGCAAAGTCAGGGGAGCGGGAGAACCGCAGTGCTCCAGGAAAGCTCCCCAAAATGTTCTGTGGCCCCAGTTGGTTTTTCTTTGGAACTTGCAGCCGCGTGGGGCCCTGGGTTCCGGGTGTGATGGAAGGTGGGGTGGGAATGAACCGTTTCCCTCTGCAACTGTGGTTAGTGCTCTGGAGCTCTTTGCCCTGTTTTTTTTGGGGGGAAGGATATGAGAAAGCTACCGTGTCCATGGAGGCAAATAACAGCATTGTGGTAAGGGAGCCAACCAATGTTCCCTCTAAGCGGACTTCGTGTGAGCTAGCTCGCAGTTTTTTAGCCTCCGGCTCTCACATTCTTGGCTCAGCTCAGGAAGGAGGGCTCCAGGCCAAACTAATGTATGCAGCAGCCCAATCGCTCGCTCACAACTTTAATGCCAGAAGCTCACAAAGTGGAATTTTTGCTCACAAGTCTCCACAGCTTAGAGGGAGCATTGGTCCCAACTCTGGGTTGGGAAACCCTTAGTGATCTGGGCGGAGTCTGGGAAGGATGGGTTTTGGGGAGGGACCTCAGTGGGGTATAATGCCATAGAGTCCGCCCAGCAAAGCAGCCATTTGCTCCCGGGGGAACTGATCTCTGTATTCCGGAGATCAGTTGTAATCCTGCAGGATCTCCAGGCCCCATGTGGAGGTTTCACCCAAACAAAACATCAAAGTGCAGGTTTACATTCTGTTCAAATATTCAGACAGCACCTTGTCGGTATCACAATCACTAGTCCCATGGGACTGTAGGAATTTACCCATTTCAAATACAGTCTTTTTCAAGGACTGTGATGTATATAAAGAACATAAACACGGCTATTTTTGGGCAGGAACGCACAGGAACGGAGTTCCGGCTGGCTCCAAAGTTGAACACGCCAAGCAGGAACTCAGTAGAATAATAGGCCACACCCAACAGCAGGAACTCATTAGGGTTGGCTACATTAGGGGTATGTGGCATAACATGCAAAGGAGTTCCTGCTACAAAAAAAGCCCTGGGTTTTGACAACAAACAAGGTAAACAGAATAACAAGCAAAAAGGTGGGTGTGGCTCGAGGAGCACACTTCTGGTAACATGGGGGTGCAGCCTAATATGCTAATGAGCTATGCTCTCATGGGTGTGGCTGGATAGGCTAATGAGTTTCTGTTGTTGGGTGTGGCCTATTATGCTAATGAGTTCCTGCTGGGCTTTTTCTACAAAAAAAGCCCTGATAAGGCACAACAATTTCTCTTTGTGAGCACAAAAACGCTTACGGCAGCAGCGTATATTAGGGGTTTTTGTGCTCAGAAAGAGAAATTATTGTGCCTTATATTCTTTATATACATCACAGTCCTTGAACATGACCCACTTGGAGGTTGGCAACCTTCCACTGCAGGGCCATTTAGTTTAGGAAATGGTGTGTGTTGGGATGAGAAAGGGTTACGGTTCCCTCCCGCCTGGTCCCGAAAGAACTGCTTCCTGTATGGGGGTGTTATTTCCAAAGGGAAAAAGAAATGCTTGGGAACACTGGACGTGGAGATCCCAGCATCAAGGGTAGGTTTGCCCTCTACGGCTGCCTGTGAGCTCTCGTAAGGGGGTGGGGGTGGGGCAAATTCTGCAGAATTTTGAAATTTGGATTATGTCAAAATTTGATTCCCGAATCCAGGATCAAACATTGGCAAGCCGGCTCTTCTCATTTGCTGAAGGGTTAGGAGAACGCGGTCTGCATTTTAATGCAGTCGGCGTGAAATGTCTCCTCCTGCAACACGTCAGATGCTGTCGAATGTTGATGGCTAATGGCTGTTTGCAAGATTTTTTTGTATGCCAAGTGCCGGCAAGGTAAAATATTTGCAAAGTGACAGAAAACCCTTTCTGCTTCCATTGCAAAATGGTCAGATGGGCTAGAACGAAATTTAATAAAAATTCAAACTGGTTCGCATCAAAATGCCTTGCTTTTGCAGGGTCATGGAAGCAAGCGGAGACATCGTTTTTGGAAGTCTACCAACACGCTTTGCTCCGTCGTTTATCTGGTTGTTTGCATTTTTGGTTTTAAATATTTTATAAGACCTATGATATGAGTGTTGTAATCTGAAAGGTGGTAAGAAAATGCAGTAAAATGAGGCAGCAGTGTATTGCCAAGGGGAAAAGAGGTTCTTTTCCACTAAGGGATTCGAAGGCAATAAACACACCCAGGGGTCATTTCCTGCAGGAGCGCACAGGAGCGGAGCTCCGGCAGTAAAGAGCGCAGGGGGTGGGCACATGCAACAAGCCCCACCCCCTGCTCCCAGCAGCCCTCAGTCAGAGCAAGAAGCAGCCAGGTAAATTGCAGAGCTCCCCCCGGCCCCCCAGTCCAAAACTGTCCAGTGGCACCTTTAAGACCAAGCTTTATTCAGGTACAAGCTCTCCCTCCTCTGCGAGGGCAGATCTGCACATTCCCCCCCCCCCAATAGCTAGCAATGCAAAACAGTCCAGTGGAGCGGTGGGTGTTGCCTTCTGACACACTTCCAGTGATGTCAGGGGGTGTGGCATATGCAAATAAGTTATGCTAATGAGCTCCTGCACCTCTTTTTCTATGAAATGACCCCTGAACACACCAGTGGTGAAGGACAACTGTTTTATTGAAATGAAGTATTAACAAGTCACAGAAATAAACACAGAATATACCCATGCTCCTTCTGTTACAGAAACCACAAAGAATGACAGCGGGCAGACTCCAGGTGTTGGTTACGAGTGTGGACTCTAATGTGGGAGAAACGGGTTTGATTCCCCACTCCTCCACATGCAGCTGCTGTTGTGACCTTGAGTCAGTCACATGGTCTCTCAGAGCTGTTCTCTCAAGAGCAGTTCTCGAGAGAGCTCTCTCAGACCCATCTACCTCACAGGTTGTCTGTTGTGGGAAGGGGAAGGGGAAGGGAAAGAAGATTGTAAGCCAGTCAGACTTCTTCAGGTAGTGAAGGGCGGGGTATAAAACCAATCTCCTCCTCCTTTTCTCCTCCTCTCCTCCACAGTCCTGCCTGAGCTGAGGTTCAGCACCTGGAGTCTGCTGCTTGCCATTCTTCAGGGTTCTTGTAGTAGAAGGGGTGTGGGTATATTCTCTGTTTTATTCCCTGTTTATTCTTGTGACTTGTTGATGTCTATTACAGAGATTTCAATAAAAGCGTTGTCCTTCAGCACCGGTGCATTTATTGCTTTCGAATCCTTTAGTGGAAAAGAACCTCTTTGCCTCTTGGCAACACAAGGAAGAAGGGGGGGGGGGAGGCTTGCTTTGCCATTAAGTGATGTTACAGACGCTGTCCAATAGATGCTGATGACACTGTAAATACTGCATTGGCAATGGCGTTTCTGACTGCCGTTTGATTCTGTTGGGGTTTTGTAGTTCATGCGCTGGGAAAATGCACTGTTTGGAACACAAAAGCATTTGTTGGAAGGGAGACCTCTAGATACCCATTCAGTGCAATTGTAGTCTGCGAAAATGAAAGTTTAAAAGACCAGCCGTGCTTGGCGTCAGGAGTCCTCCCCTGGGGTGTGGGTTTTCTCCTGCTGGGGCTGCTAACACAGTGCAGCGAGAACCGGGCTTCCATCGGGTGGGTTTCCCCACACTTTCCCTACCCCCCCACAATCCCTCCCCTGCACCACCAGAGGGCTCTTTCGAGCTTAAAAACAATTGATCTGTGGCTATCGCCTTACTGTGCAAGAATGCTGATCACCCCACGCTGCAGTGACACAGCTGTGGGGGAGAATAATGACACCCAAGCGGGCGGGAAAGAGCCGAGCTGTCAGATCCCCTTGGCATCCAACCTGGCTTTACTGCAACCTATCCCAAAACCCTGTTGTGAAGCAGATTCAGGAGAGATCGTAGCAAAGCAGGAAGATGTGTGTATGGATGCCGGTTCTGTGGGGAAGCGGGGGGGGGGGGTAAACCCTGCTTCACGCTACCACCTGAACCAGACTGAAGCGGTAGGGTGGCGGTGACCTCAGTCACTTCTCTAGGGCGAGCAGCGCAGGAGCCAGCGGGTGCTGAGCGACGCTGAGCAGAATACATACTGTGAAAGCAGGAGACTCCCCGTTGCTTTTATAATTCCACTCCTGAAAAAATATATTCACTTTGGCAATTCCATTCCTAGTAATGAAAGAGGGATTGAGTGAACCTAGCTTTACAAGAACGGGCACCTTCAACACGGTCCGACGTGTGCCTCTCCCCCCAATCTTGCGCTCCTCCCCTTCTTTCCACATTCTTCAGCCTGCTGCCTTTTCCTAAACCTTCCGTAGCCTGTGTCTGTGTCAGAACTACCCAAACCGCACCGTAACAGTGCAAGAACTTCGGAAGCAATAGGAGTATCTGCCCAGAAACCCTACGCAGATTTCCTGGCTGATTTGTTTCTGCAGCATACCGGCTCACCTCTTTCCTGCTTCATTTAATCAGCCTTACAGGCCTCTATCACTCAAGAAACACCTCATGCCCCTTTGCCATCAGACGGAAATTGTGTGACCTGGGGATCCTGCCCCCTGTCGTGCCTCCGATGGGTTTCTGGGTGCCTGCTTATTTCCAGTTTGGAGAGCCAGTTCGGTGTGGTGGTTAAGTGCGCGGACTCTAATCTGGGAGAACCGGGTTTGATCCCATGCACCTGGCTGGATGACCTTGGGCAAGCCGTAGCTCTGATAAGAGCTGTCCTTGAAAAAGAGCAGTTTGTGTCAGAGTTCTCTCAGCCCCACCCACCTCACAGGGTGTCTGTTGTGTGGAGGGGAAGGGAAAGGAGTTTGTAGGCCGCTCTGAGACTCCAAGCGAAGGGCGGGGTATAAATCCAATCTCCTCCTCCTCTTCTTCTTCTTCTTCTCCCCCCCCCTAAAATAGCTCTTCCTCACAATGCAAATGTTCCTGGCCCAATCCTGGTGGAGCAAGCTCCCAATTGAGATCAGGAGGCCCCTGTGGGGCTTATTGCAATTCTCCAGGGCCTGTAAAACGGACCTTTGGTTGAGGCGATGGGTTGCCTCACTATATTTGGCCTCCCCTGCTCTAACCAGCCCCCCCCTCCAACTAGCCTACGCTGTTGGTTACATCAGCTTGTATCATAGGCTGGGGGATGGCCCAGGTATTACCTCGATGGCCCTTCCCGAGTTAGTCATATCCCCGAGGTCTAGGCTTTTACCATCTCGCCATCACGGAGGTTTCGTTGGGTCTTCTGATTTTAACGTATAAATTATATAAATCGGTTTTTATGTCTTTGTGGTGCGTTGTACCCCGCCCTGAGCCCGCTTGCGGGGGAGGGCGGGATTTACAAAATCTCAGAAAGAAAGAAAGAAAGAAAGAACCTGTCCTGACTTTCTTTCACCTTACTGGAGCAGAAAGTCCTTCAGAAAAGCCCAAGAGGCATCACTTCTGGGTCTGTGGGGAGCACCCATTTGCATATTGCTGTCTCCACCATAGGAGGGTGCTTGGTTCGGGACATCCTGAACATTTTGCGGCACTTCCTAACATTTTGTGATTGGCCCCAACCGTGGTGAGCCATTGGCTTCATTAGCACGGTCCCATTAGCATGGCAGCCATTTTGTTATGGCACCCTGCTACCTGTTCTCCAAATACCAAAAGATCAACAAGATCAGGGATCCTGTGGCTGAGTCCCAGATCCTAGCACCTCCTCATCCCTCCCGGTGGATCCAGAGCCAATCCAAATGTACAGGGCACAGCTTTCCATGGGACAACCAGCTCCGGAATGCCTACAAAGGGCACTTCTTTGAATGGAGTCCCACATCCATCTCCTGCACACGGAGATCATGAGTTTCATAGCGTTTTCCTGCCAAGCTAACTTTCAATCCACTTTCCACATATTCGCATATTAGGCCACACCCCCGTGCCTTCCCTTGGCTTGCCTGGGTGCCCTGGGGCTCCCCCCGCAGGCCCTTGGAGGGAGGGGAAGGCGGGGAGCCTGGGCGAGCCCCCCCTTGGAGGGGAGGGAAGGCAGTTTAAACTGCCTTCCCTTGGCTTGCCTGGGTGCCCTGCGGCTGCGGGGAGCCTGGGCAAGCCGGCCTTGGACAGGTCAGGGAAGTAGGGCTGCCAAATGCCCCCGGGGGGCAGATTTCCCCCCCACTGTCGAGCCCCAATTTCCGCCCCCGCGGAATCGGGGCCCGGGGGAAACCCCACCCCCTCGTGCACGTCACCCGGATGTGACGTCGCACGCTGGGGGCGGGGCCACAGCCATTTGAGGGGAAAACATAGAGTTTCCCCCTCAAATGGCTGTGGCCCCGCCCCCAGCGTGCGACGTCACATCTGGCTGACGTAGGTGTGGCGCGCACGCGCACCAGGAGATAGCCTGGGGTCCCCCGCCGAGGAGGTAAGAGACATTTGGCAACCCTATGGGGAAGGCATGGGGAGGCATTTAAATGCCTCCCTGATTCTTCCAGGGGCACCCCTGGCCCGCCTGCTTCGGAGCCGCCGGGGGGGGGTTCGCTCTCCAGGCCTCCCCTCTGTAGCCACGCACGCAGAGGTTTTGGCTGTAGTGGGCATGGCCAACTCTGAAGCCAGCCGGAACGCTGTTTCTGTGCGTTCCTGCCCAAAAATAGCCCTGTGTGATTCTATGACTGAACCACTGTCTGCCTCTGCATAGCAACCCTGGACTTCCTCGGTAGTCTCCCATTGAAAGACTAGTCGGGGCCGCCCCTGCTTAGCTTCTGAGATCTGAAGAGATCGGCCCACCCTGGCCCGTCCAGCTCAGAGCCTTCAAGGTGTTACTGGACTCAGACCTTCCACTTTTGAGTACGTCACTTTCCGTGCACATTCTGGGGGTAGTATGGTGTGGGCCATGGGGTGAAGATCTCACCGCACAGACGCTAAACACAGCTTTTTGGAAGAAAGTATCTTGTGGTAAACCACTGTGAGTGTCAAGTGACTGAGCCAACCTGTGAAAATGAACACAGGGAGCTTGGGATCCAGAATTAGTCAGTCCATGTGGGGCTGTGATCTCCCATGCTATTTCATGACTAGAACGAAATGTTGACATTTCCCAAGCTGAGCCTCTGACACTGCCTTAGGCCAGGTTAGACTGTTGGTCAGTCTAGCTTGGTACAGTCTACCCTGATTGGCCTGCTGGGACTTGGGAAAAGGTTGTGCCATTCCCTTCTGCCTGTGATCCTTTCGCTGGAGAGGCCAAGGGTTGAACCAGGGACTCTCTGCAGGGCGAGCTGGCGGTCTACCACTCAGAAGAAGAAGAAGAAGAGAAGAGATTGGATTTATACCCTGCCCTTCACTTGGAGTCTCAGAGCGGCTTACAAACTCCTTTCCCCTCCCCTCCCCACAACAGACACCCTGTGAGGTGTGTGGGGCTGAGAGAACTCTGACAGAAACTGCTCTTTTTCAAGGACAGCTGTGCCAGAGCCTGTGACTGACCCAAGTTCACATCAGCAGGTGCAAGTGGAGGAGTGGGGGAATTAAACCCGGTTCTCCCAGATTAGAGTCCACGCACTTAACCTCTACACCAAACTGGCTCTCTACACCAAACTGGCTCAGCCGCTGCCCTTCTTAACATTCTCTGCCACCTGGATTTGTAGGCAAGTCGGACAAAACGAAGCCGTTTTGGCTCTGATCCCGGTCTAGGGGCACACAACAATCAGCTATTCTGAAGGAGACGAAACTCTCAGTCGCTGCAAAAAACACATTCAGCCAGTCCATTGCATGTGTACGTGCGTGTAAGGTGAGCATTCTGTTGCAGAGGTTTACAAGTTGCAGCTATCAGTTCCTGCAGCTATGCAAGGCTTCCCCGGATCGAGGTGTTTGGCCTCTGGGCTTCTATTGGTTGCGAGCCACTTGAAATGGAGAAGAACAAATTTAGAGTCCAGCGGCACCTTTAAGACCAGCAAAGGTTTATTGAAGGTATGAGCTTTCGTGCGCAAGGCACACTTTTTCATTGGAATGGCAGATGAGGTCCTAACTTTATAGACAGGGATTGAACAGCCAATTAATGTGTAACACGATGATGTTTAAGTGATGCAAAGTGAGAAACTAAATAAGTTAAGATTATTCTAAATAAGTTAAGATTAAAGATTAATGAGTTCCTTCTGGGCGTGGACAACTTGGGAGCTGGCCGGAACTCTGTTCCT